GTCAGTCCCCATGGACACAACAGTCAAGAAAGCAAGTGACACATTGCATTAGGGAAGTATGTTGTACAAGACTGTGTTAAAGTATGTAAATGAATTTTTAAAAAGACGTGGAACAACAATGTCATCTTTTAAAAGTCTGCTTTGAAGAGCTCAAATCCTTCCAGTGCATATCTTTTGTTTCTGCCCTGGAACATGATGAGGTGATGTTAGGTAATGCAATTCCTGAGAGAGAAGGGAAGCCCGTATTACGATTAAGATCTTTATTATATATCTTACTTGGAGATAACAGCTAAGGTGACATAATGCCCCAGGTACATAAGTGAAGAAGGCTTAGTCGAGCTTCCAAACAGATTTAGCAAGTGTTAATGAGATTACCTTCCATGGAAATAACAGTCCAATTTAAGTATGTACAAGAACGATCCAGGGGGCAGTGTCAAGACAATGTCAGTAGTCTGGTATAAAATGACACATTTTTCAAAGCAGTATTGTTTTGCTGGTGAAGAAAACACAGCTAGGGAAGCTCTTGGCTCAGAGGTGATGACAGAAGTCAGGAGCTCGCTTCCTTGTGAAGAGGAATAAGTGTAATAAGGTGTCATGTCTGGGACGATGACTTTCTTCTCCAGCCACCATCCCTGGGAAGTTGGTGTAGGCTTTTTCAGCAGGAGTCATGCAGAATGGCATGAAAAAGCCATTCTCTTGAAGGTGGACGTCAACTTTCTTTCCAGTAATCCAGGAACTGTCATCCCTTCTAGATACTAGTGGGCCTGGCTAGAGAGTCGTATCATATTATCAATTAGGAGGGTAAATAAAAAAGTATTGGTACAAAATCATAGAACCATTCATGAAATGAAAACATCAAAATGGGAAGCAACTGCTTCTTCACATGCCATCCACGAGGTCTAGGCAGCTAAAGGTGGTGTTTCCTCGACTGACCTTTCTGGAAGGAGTCCGCAAGAGTTGAGGAAGCGGATAACATCTAGGGGCATGATCATCACAAGATATAAATGTCTATCATAGCAGTCAGATAAAACAATATGAGCAACATTTTTGATGCTTGAACAATCTTTTTGGAGGTCTTAATTACCCTATGGATGGAATAATCTTAGATGGCCCTCCAAGCCAAATTATCCAAACACTGTCTATTCTACAGCTCTTTCCATCTTTTGATGCTTCCTGTATCATTCAATATTGTGACTATAGAATCTTTGATATTGCAACTCCAGACTTGATTCTTTGCTTGAGTTCTTTCAGTATAAGATATGTTGAGTGTGCTCTTCCCTTTTGATTTTCTATCTCTAGGTCTTTCCACATTTCCTTATAATACTGTGTCTTCTTGAAATGCCCTTTGAAAATTTCGGTTCAGCTCTCTGACTTCATTTCTTCTATTTGCTTTAGCTATTCCACAATCAAGATCAAGTTTCATCCACTTTTGACATCCACTTTCATGTATTCTTTCTTTCCTATCTTTTTAATGACCTTTTGATTTCTTCATGAATGTTCTTTTTTTTAAAAATGTTTCAATATTTATTTCTACATTTCCTTTTTTATCTTAGTTGGGATTTAATACATATCACATATCATTCCATATTTCAGTCACGCCAAGTAGAATTGTACTATTGCTACCACAATCAGTTTGTATGATATTCTGGATTTCATTCCATAGTTCATTGGGTCTTCTGTCATCAGCGTTCAGTGTCACATCTGCTCCTGAGATGTTTTTAAAACCTATACTCAAGACCGTATTTTGGCTCTCATGGACTTACTTACTTTTCTTCAGCTTCAGCTTGAAATTACATATGGGAAATTGGTAGTCTGTTCCAGAGTCGGATCCTGGCCTCATTTTGGCTGCTGATA